CCGATCTGCCCCTGAACGCCTCGTCTCCGATCTGCCCTGAACGCCTCGTCTCCGATCTGCCCCTGAACGCCTCGTCTCCGATCTGCCCCTGAACGCCTCGTCTCCGATCTGCCCCTGAACGCCTCGTCTCCGATCTGCCCCTGAACGCCGATCTGCCCTGAATGCCTCGTCTCCGATCTGCCCCTGAACGCCTCATCTCTCAGTATTTTGGGTTTCCTGCAGCAGCAGCAGCTCTGATGAGTCCCAGGTGTTGCGCTCGCTGAGCGCCGACAGCGACCTGAGCTCAGGTGTTTTCTCAGAGCGAATCAACCGCTGCTGCAGGCAACACACTCACAACTACACACAAAGTACACACAGACACACACAGAAACAGAAGTACGCAGAAAAAACTTGAAACACAGAAACACAAGAACGTAAAGTCAGCGACAGAACAGAGAACATTCAACTCATCATACAGGGACCAGGACCGGGACCAGGACCGGGACCAGGACCGGGACTATTTTAGACGGATGAATCCTTCACATCTTCAGAGAATCTTCAGGATGTGGACAGACTGGACTGAACCACACAGACCCCTTCTAGGATTTATGGTCGTGTGGTTCTGAAGGAACAAAACGACTGAAAGAGACCGAACACACAAATGAAGCTTTGCATTAGTCTCAAGGTTCTGTCCAGTGGTCAACGGCTTCAGTCCAACCCACTGAGCTGCTTTATTGGTTCACTGTGCCGCTCCACCAGCCTCCCCCTCCTCCCCATAACTCTGCTCCTTTCTCATATCATGACTGTAGAACACCGACGGTCCAGAACTGCACCTTGAAACCATGTGAACTGGATTTTGTCAAGTGAGGACCATTTAAGTTGGTCTCCTGCTTCTCCCACTGACCTGACCCTTTGGGTCAGGACCCTCTGGGTCAGGTCAGTGGTCTCAGGGACCGTCTGGGTCAGGTCAGTGGTCTCCAGGACCCTCTGGGTCAGGTCAGTGGTCTCGGGGACCGTGTGGGTCAGGTCAGTGGTCTCGGGGACCCTGTGGGTCAGGTCAGTGGTCTCGGGGACCGTGTGGGTCAGCTCAGTGGTCTCAGTGTGGACTGTCACTTACTGATCAGGTGATTTGGTGAGAGAAGCATTTGAAATATCTGGAAGAACATCAGAGTCACAGAATGAGGTGATTTCTTCACATGTTCATTTGATTTCTTCAGGTTAGCTCCTCTGAGACACACACACACACACACACACACACACACACACTAACAGCAGTTTGGACCTGTGAGGACGGTGGTGTGGTCCTCACAGAGACAGGAAGCCATACAAGTTGCTGTGCAGCCAGCATAAAGTCCTCACAAGGATATAAAAACACAGAGACACAGTGCTGCAGGCAGAGGTTCCAGATGTGTCTTTATTAGATTATTAGAGCTTAATGCTGAACAGGACTGTGTGTGTGTGTGTGTGTGTGTGTGTGTGTGTGTGTGTGTGGTTTCTGCTCTATTTCACAGCTGCAGATTGAAGTGAATCATCTGATGTTTTTCTCTCCTCACTGGTTATATAAACAGTGAGCTGTTAGCGCCACCTGCAGGCTGCTGCTGGAACTGATGAATAATCAATAATCTACTGCAATGATTCATCAAAAAGTGTGATCAGCCGATGACGTGACCAGTGCTACACCTGGACATGTTTGATCTTCTCTTCATCCTTGTGAAGTGAAGCCGCTGCGTCTCGCTGCACCACTGCTGACGTGTTGCAGGCTTTCTGGAGCTCCATGCTAACATGCTAACATGCTAACTCTGACCTCCATCTTTAACTCTCACCTGTCCCATTGACACTCAGACACACACCTGTCTGTGTTGTTAATCGCAAACTCTATTTATTACAAACTTTACAAACTAAACATGAACTCTGCTTTTTCCCAGCATGCACTGCTGCTTGTCACTGTTTGGGCGGCGGGGCGTCATCTCTAGGAGGCCTGAAGGGGGCGATCTCTCTGACCAGTCGCTCTGCAATGGCCCTGCTGTTGGCGGCGATGATTCTCCTGGACATCAGGTCCGCCTCCCCTCCTGAACACAGACACAGCATTCAGGGAACACCTGAGCAGGTAAACTGTAACTCTGCGTCTGAGACCTTTACCCTCCACGTCCATCAGAACCCCTCCGGCCTCAGAGACGATCAGCGACCCGGCAGCGACGTCCCAAACGTGGATCCCGATCTCGTAATACGCCTCGACGCAGCCGGACGCCACCAGACACATGTTGATGGCTGCAGTACCTGCACCGCGCAGCCTGCAGACAGACCACACGTGACTGACAGGAAACACCTTTACCTGGCGGCAGGCGTGCAGCAGCGTGCTGTTACCCGTGAATCGGGACGCTCAGAACGTTCTTCAGGCTGCAGAAGATTCTGTCGACGGCTTCGGGGGCTCTGCTGGATCCGAACTCTGTGGCCACGATGGACTGCTGGATGTCTGACGAGAACAACAGCAGAACGCTTCATGGTCTGCCGTTATCACCCTCAGAACAACGTCTGAGCTCCAACTCTAAACTTTCCCTTCACAAAATGTTGCCCTTGTTTCCATTTCCAAGGTCCAGTAATTAAACATGTGTCCTCTGCTGGATCCGTCTGACCGTCCGATCTGCTGGAAGCTACTCTGTCTGTGTTCTGACCAGTCGGTGGCTGTGGCCCTTTGATTTCTGGACATACTGAACCCTGAACGTGGCTTCACAGGTAAGACCCTGAACTCAGCTCAGACTGTCTTGATGTGTTATTGATTGGTTAAGATGTTATTGATTATTGACCTTTCTGCGCAGAAACCTCCAGCGGCTGTCCGTTGCAGAACGCTCCCTTCCCCCTCCTGGCTGTGAACATCTTATCTTCCAGACAGCTGTATACGACACCAAACTCCATCTGAAGGGGCAGGAAGGTCAGAGCAGCTCAGATGGCAGCAGGAACAGCACAGAACATCCTAGAGTAGCAGCACATAGGTCCACTACATACAACCTACAGCCAATATGTTCTGATCTGACCTGTTTGTTGACGGAGAATCCAATCGAAACAGCCACAAACGGAAACCTGTTCAAAGACAAACTGATTAATGGATGTTGTGATGTCACGTCATTGTCCTGACCAATAGTCAGCCTGGCTTTCAATCTGAGAATTACTCATTGTTCAGATGAATTCAGAGGAGACTTCTCCTAAATGCTGATGATTTTTAACCACCTGCACATAATATTCAGTTCCATGAGACATTTGACTTCAGGACCACAGTCCTCCTGAACTACAGATAATGTGAAAGTTCTGCTTGGAGGTCCTGAACCTCCTCAGAGTCTCTGTCATGGTCCCAATGCTGCTAAACACCCACAATGCTCTCTGCTGCCACCATGAGCTGTAGTCTGGAGACGCCTCCTCTGGTCTCTACAGGATTAAACAGGAAGAGGCTCCACCTGGTGGAACAACCAGGTACTGCAGCTGGTTTGTGGTACATTTACTGACATCATGACCTTCACCTTCTGCCCCATTGATTAATATGTTTTTAATTGGTTAAATTATTAGCGTCTTTAGGTCGCCATGCGTTTTTATTCACTATCGTGTCTCAGACGTGTTTGTAGAGCAGAGTTTAATCCGAGTGGATCTCCAGGACAGAGGAAGGTGAGCTGACCTTTAACCTGAGCTCAACAACACCATGAACGTCTGGACGCTTTCAGCCGAACAGCGGCGATAATGAGTGTTTCTGGAAAGTCTGTGTTTAAAATAAAACTCACGTGTGAACAAAGTTGGTTGTTCCGTCGATGGGGTCGATGATCCAGGTGGGACAGTCGGTCAGGACACAGGATTCACCTGCAGCCACTGACTCCTCCCCTATGAACCTGAAACATCCAGAAGCAGAAAGTGAACCAGCCACTCATCTGTGTTCTGACAAATCAGTACATCCCAGAACCACAGAGACATAACTCTGTTCATTAGTGTCAACAAGCTGTTATTCACACACAGATGTAAAAAGGAAACGTGTGAAGACGTTCTCCTGGAGGAACCCATCGACGACTCTCCTATTCACTGTTAATTTATTTCTGTTTGATGAAGAAACATGAATTTAATCCACAACACTTTGCTTTGTGCCGTGAAGTTAAAACCTGGTGCCTGGTTCTGGTCAGTGGAGGTGAAGACATGGAGGAAGAAGAGTTTCCTATGAAGCAGACACTGGACTGATACCTGAACAGGTAACGTTAGTTCAGGAGTGTTTCAGGCTGGATGGGTTGTAAAGGTTTATAATCATCTATAAAAAGTTTAAGTACTTATGTCAAGCTAAAGGTCTGAGAAAAAGTGGAAATGTTCCATTAAACTTTGAGAACGTCCTCAGAAGAATCAAGCTCCAACACCTGTTCTACCAAGCTGAGGTTCTCCAGAGAACACAGAAAGTGTTCCTCAGTGGAAGCAGAGTGAAGAAAAGATCACTGCTGTGGTCATCAAGAGAAGCTGGACAGAAGAGAAATCCTGGTTTCCATCTCATGCAACACTGCAGCTAGAGAAACCTGCAGAAAGGGTTCTGAAGAGCAGAAGCACTGCCACGAGTTTCTGTTGTTACAGATGTTTTCTTCTGCTGTCTTTTGCAGATCTGTGAAACTGTCGCCTCCATGTTTCCAGAAATCTGCAGTACGACAGTAAAAGAGTGATGCTGCTGCTTTACATTTAGTCTCTGCTGGGGGGAATGGTGAATGATTTCATGCATAACTGACTCATTCTTCAGGGTAAAAGACGGACTTTAGTTTTACATCTGTAGGTACAAAGAAGTCACATCAAGGATTTACACTGAAGTCTCTGACTTCATTCACATCACACTGCTGGGTGTAAATGCACTTTTAGACTTATAGAGAACATCTTGAACACTTAACTTAAAACTCAGCTTTTCACCTGGATGTAACTTACTATGTGTTTTGTATTTCATGTCTTATTGCTTATCTTACTACTGTTCTTGTAATTTTATACTTAACTGAAAATGTAAATAAATAAATAAAACACAGAAATATAATTTACTGCCAGAAGAAACCTGTTGGTCCAATAAAAACTCACTGAAGTTCACTTTGGTTTGGGTTTGACTCCATTCTGAGAAATCTTCCTCGCCTCACTGTCCACGCCCATCAGCTCTTTTTCAGTGACTGTATTGATCTGTGACCTGATCAACAATCAATAACACACAGTGAGGAGGCGGAGCTTCCTACCTGTGTGTGGGGAATTTCTCTTTTACTGATTGGATAATGAGCTGCTCCACCTTCTGGTCTGTTTGAGTCACCAGATCAACCGATGAACTCTTTGTCATCACCGTCCTGTCGTCAAGCAGAGCCCCACGCACCACCTGATCAATACAGACA